GTGGGTGGGTCTGTGTGTGTGTGTGTGTGTGTGTGTGGGTGTGGGTCTGTGTGTGTGTGTGTGTGTGTGTGAGTGCACAGTTGCTCCCGAGGGTCCGTGTCCGAGGCAGAGTGAGTTTTGGGGACTTTGAGTGTTTTGATGGAGACAGTCATGCATAACTAGGAAAGGAGTTTTTTCGGTTGGTTTGGGTTTTTTTCCCTGTCTGCTCAGCCCCGAGTTCCCCCTCACTTCATCCCAGTACTGATGAAGATGCTAAATTGCTCCTTCCCATATTGTTTTCATCCCATTTGCAGATTAGCATCCAACTGCTTCTTGCAGTCAGTACTTGCTCTGCCCAGCTAGGCTGATCACAGCTTTTTTAATCTCCCCTTGCAAATCAATCCCTTCTGCCTCCTGATAATTTTTGTCGCTCATTTTTCTGAAATCCCTCCAATTTGTCCATTTTGTGTTGGTGACGTATGCCTGGCCCTAAACATGATGTATACCAGGCATGGCAGCGTGAGGGAAGGACACCTCCTCCCCTCCCACCCCACTGGGGCTTGTGATGCTTTGTCAGCACCGAACTGAGTTACTTCCCCATTATTCTAAGCTATAGTCCCTGCTCGGTGTTGCAGAAGAAAGCAGCATACTCAGGTCAGTGCCCTGGGGAGAATTCCTCCAAATTTTGGTGATGGGTTACTGAGGTTTGGTTGCATGCTGGTAGCAGATGCTGGAAGGGGCCGGTGGTCTAGGTGTATTCCTGGGGTGCCTCTTCCCACAAGAACTAATAGCTGAACAGGAGGGGTGAGGAAAATAACAGAGGGCAAGCTGGGCAGATGGGGAAACTGAGGCACGTGCATGCACATTTCCTGTGCATCTTTCCAGCTCTTATTTAGGTGGTCTGTGTGTGGGGTGTGGTTGCACTTGTTAGTGTTGCAGCTGGCATGGGCATTTTCTGAGGAGATGCTGGGTGTTTGGTCAGAGCATGCTGGCACACTGGGATGCTGGGTTCTGGGCTGATTTTGCTCATTGCTTCTCGTGCTCGTAGCCAGAGCCTGATGCCACAGGTGCTCTCATGGGGAAGAAGCAGGGTAACAAAGTGCCTTGCATTTGCGCACTTTGAAGTTTTATCATGCCAAACCCTGAGCTCCTAGGACTGAGCATTCCCATTCCCTGGAAGGGCTGTGCCCTTCCAGGATCTGTCTATTTTTAGGAGGAGTTGTATTCTGGACAGTGTCCACTGCAGATGCTCTCTGCCTCCTCCTCTTGGCCCTCCTCCAGGGACACCGTTTGGGCTCTCTGCTGGAGGGGCCGCTCTTGCCGGGGCTCCTCCAGGGCAGGGCAGAGCCGAGCAGATGTGGGACCGTGGGGATGCCCGCTGGGCTGTGGTACCCCGGGGTGCTGGGGAGGGACAGTGAGCTCACGCTGTCCCTTGCATGAACTGCTGGGAATTCGCCGTGCTCCAGGAGCCAGCAGGACACGGTGGCTTCCGCACGGCATGGCCAAGCAGGGGTGCTGCTGCTGCCTGGGCCAGGTGGTACCCGGTGCTCGGCGGTGCCCGGCGCCGGCCCGTTCACCAGGATGACACTAGGGGGCACGAGATCTGCTGGAATTCCTTTGTTGGGGATGGGAAAGGAGGCTGCAAAGCTGCTCCTGACCCTTCAAGCCCCGTGCATCATTCCCCCGAGCGTTTTGTGGGAATTACGAGTGTTAAATCCCACGAGCTGTCTCGGTAACTCCTCCTGCCGCCAGGGCAGGACGCAGCTCTCCGGAGGCTGCTCGTTGGCTCTGCCCGTCCCTGGCCGTGGGAGCAGCAGAACAGGGATGAAGCGGTCAGCCGGAAACATCTCTGAAGCAAGGAGGTGGTGGATGCAGCCGGAGTGCCAGGGAATCTCCGGGGAATGTGGGAAATCCAGGAAAACACCTTAGCATGTTTTTAATGCCTCTCTAGAGGCGTTGTCCAGAGCAGGGATTAAGTTAGATTCAGGGCTGGCTTTCAAGATGCAGCGTGTTATGGTTTCATTTTCTGCTGGTTGTTAAATTCATGCATGATGTCTCCTCAGGGTCATGTTTTCCCAAAGCAGCAGAAACTTTAGAGAGTCTGATTTAATGAATGGTTCTGATCGATCTGAAACATGAAGAGTGTGTGTGTATGTGTGTGTGTGTGTGTGTGTGTGTGTGTGTGTGTGTGTGTGTATTATATGTGTGTCCATCCACATATCTGGGTGGGGTGCAAAGAATATGTTTTTGAAGGTATGTTTATGCATTTCTGCATACATCCAGCTGTAATATTGTCCTGAGTCCTTAAAATCTATTATTCCAGCTGTGAATGCGTGTATATATATTAGAGCACTGTATACTGGAGTCTTTCTCTCTTGTTATAACAAACCTCACAGAAAGCAAATAAAGAGACATTGTTCTCATAGCAGGCTTTTAAGGGCTCAATATTTATCTTCTATGAATTTTGATAGTTTTTGTTCAGCATGTTTGCAGTTATGATGGTGGTGGGGGGGTTTGCCTATCTACTTCAAATTTTGTGCTGTTGGGAAACTGGAAACATTTGGATCGTTTCAGCTTATTCATCAGGTAATGAAAACAGAAGTCAAGCTTCTGGATTGAAATGTTGGCACCTGATATCATTCTGGCATATTAATTTCTCAATGGTTAGGGTTTTTTCTAATGCCTTCCGTTGCCAGATACCAGGCTCCTTTGCTGGAGCCGTGCTTCTCTCGCGAGCCCCCGGGCAATATTTTTAGTAGGACACTGATGCATCGCAAACACTGCTGTACTCCGAGAAAAAGCTTTGCTGGCTGTTGTTGGAAGTAGCGCCAGGATGGGTAGAAAGCAGAGATCAGAGGAGGACGGTGCTGCCGCTGCGTCGGAGCGTTCGCTTTGTGCCTGAGACGGAGGTTTTGTGTCGGGTCGTGCAGGTGCTGTGCCTGTGCGGATGTGAGGGCAATTCCCCAGCTGACTTCTGAGACAGGGCTGAGGAGTATGGGTTTATTTATTTTGAAATGACTGGTGAATTGGAAGGAGGTCCGGGAAGAAGTGCCGAGTCAACTTTCAAGTCAATTAGGGATGTGTCTGGAGGTGTGAAGTGGTCTGAAGAGGACAGGGTGATTTGTCTGAAAGTGTTACCTAATTAGAGGGTATGGTCAGGGCTCTAATTAGCCATGACACCCTAAAGATGTTATCAAAGCCCTCTTGGGGCACGCCTGATCCAGTGCCGTGGCTGTGAGCTCTGGTCAGCGTGGCCGCGCACGGCCGGAGCTGCCGCCCTCAGGCTCAGAGGCAGCCCCGATGCTTGAAGAGGCTCTTTTCCTTTTCAGGTGACTCGTGATACCCTCCGGGGCTGCTGCCAACTTTGAGTGATGTTCATAAAGTCACAGAATGAAAGGAAAGCCTGCAGCAGTTGGAAGAATTAATACTGGTGCCCACTATGTGGGAAATCTCCTCTCTTTTCCCTGAGGGGCATCACTTTCTGCTGCTCTCTGCCTGGGGGGAGGCTGGAGGAGGAGGGCTGTGAGGATTTGCATTAAGTGATGCTCTACCAACAGCTGGTGGAGGAATCGTGACCCCTTTCTTAGCATTGCCTGACAGAGGGGACATGGGATCGACTGAAATCTGGCTTGCCCAGACCTGGTTGTATTTAAATACTATGCAACACACCCTGTGAGGGGGAACTGGTGCAGGAAGGAAGCAGTACAAGAAGTGCTGGTTAAGAGGGAAAGGCGCCTGGGAAGGCTTTTCCCTGACATTGGAAGGATCTTGCAGCCTGCACCTCTGCAGGCCACACCTGGGTGGTGGGTGGTTGTTTGCCTTTGGAGAATTGGGGCTGGGGGTTGCTCCCTCTGGGGCTGCTCTCACTGCCTGCTGTTCATCCATCAAAACCATTGTTCAGTCAGCCCTGTGAGGAGAGTAGAGTGGGAGTTGCCCATTCCCAGCAGTGGTGCCAAGAGCCAGTAGGAGCCACCTGAAGCCAGGCTGGTGGATGAATGTGGAGAGCAGGGCCCATTGCCATTCTCAGCAGCAATGAGCAAAGGAATTCTCTCCTCTCTCAGAGCTGAGGTCCCTGTGCGTGTCAGAGCCTTCTGAATTGCCAGGAGAGAGCAGTGGGTAGCTCAGACCTCCTTGGCAGGAAGGAGCTACTGTTACTCCTGTCTCAATGGGAAATGAAATGGATCCTGGGGCTAGGATGTTCACTGTGTGCTTCATCAGTGCTGCGAGGAGCCTGGCTCTGCAAAGGGACTCTCTTTGCTTGTGTAGGTGGAATTGCAGCCCCCCAAATGCAAACACACAGCCAGGCACACTCCCGTGCTCACAGTTACCGAGGCATGCGCCTGCTTTTAATTATGTGGGTGTTAAGCCAGTGAATTAATTTTGTTCACAAAGTTGCAGCCTGGCATTTTCCTACTGCTCCTGGTCTCTGGTGGCATTCCCACACTCTGGAGCACATGTGCTAATAACTTGGGGACTGGGTTTGGTAACTCGGAGGACAGTGCCACACAGGGCTGACCCAGGCAGCTCTCCCTGAGCTGTTGCCGTGCTGTGCCAGGGCTGCAGGGGCCACACTGGATTTTAGGGTGCTGGGTTATAGGTGGGGGATGGGGAGCTGGTCCCTGTGCTGTGGTGTCACAAGCTGATCAGCACAGAAGGAGGGACCTGCACTGCTGCCCTCCTGCCTGGAGAAGCAGCCTGGGTTGGGCATCTCAGCACCTGGCACGAGATTTGGTTATGAATTCAAACAGTATCTTGTATAATAAAACAGCCTTATCTCTGCTTTTGCCCTAGGTACACTCTGCACCACACTCCTTTTGTCTAGGGCCTAAAAATGCTGGTGATAATGAGGACACATCCTTTTTTGTGGTTAAAGTGTGGTTCTCAGATGCAAAGGGAGGCAGCCTGTGCTAGACTTCACCACCAATGTGTGATTTACCCTCCTCTGTGCCACTGAACTGGGGGCTTGAAAAACAAATATGTT